ACCTAAGTTACCATAATATTATAAAGTAACTTAAAACATAACACGTATCAAATCTATATATATTTTTATTATTTAAATATAATTTATATACATCAGATTAAATATTACTACCCAAGTTAGCATAAAAGTAATTATTAAATTACCCATTATTTATTAATCCATTATCCAATAATACTTAAGTTACCATAATATTATAAAGTAACTTAAGACATAACACGTATCAAATCTATGTATATTTTTATTATTTAAATATAAAACATATACATTAGATTAAATATTACTACCCAAGTTAGCATAAAAGTAATTAATAAATTACTCATTATTTATTAATCCATTATCCAATAATACTTAAGTTACCATAATATTATAAAGTAATTTAAAACATAACACGTATCAAATCTATGTATATTTTTATTATTTAAATATAAAACATATATATCAGATTAAATATTACTACCCAAGTTACCATAAGAGTAATTAATAAATTACCCATTATTTATTAATGGATTATCCAATAATACTTAAGTTACCATAATATTATAAAGCAACTTAAAACATAACACGTATCAAATGTATGTATATTTTTATTATTTAAATGTAAAATATATACATCAGATTAAATATTACCACCCAATTTATCATAAAAGTAATTAATAAATTACTATCCCTTTTATATATGTATATAATATATATCTATATATATATATACACAACTATCCATGGGTAATAATCCGTACCCATCCAACCTCCTATCCAATTAGTCCATGGGATCCAATTGGTTGGCCCATTATTACTAACCATAACCATAAAAGAAAAATAAAATAAAATAATAAAATAAAAGAAAACATTTAATTTACAATTAATCAAAACACCATTTAAACACATAATCTAATTAAATAATTAACACGTGGACAAATACAAATAACACATAGACACATAATCAAATACTCGAGTAACATGTAATTCAATTAAACCCATAAGCAATTAGTCAAATAATCAATTAAATAATTAAAAATACAATTAAAATAAATAAATAAATACCGAAACTATCATTTTAAAATTAGGGTTATTACACGTTGCAACTGCAATTCCACTACAACCTAAACCTCTTTCGCTAAGCTCCACTACATCGCCACCATCCTCCGCACCGCCCCCTATAAACTCCTCGTTTTTGGGCTCACACACGAAACCTTCCTATAGAAATCGCTCAATTTTAAAGGCCGAATAGTCTTAATGGACAAAAGCGCTTACTTGGTCTCCATAAGCGAAGAGCAAAACCCAAAAATCAAAGCGTTCGCCACGTGTGCTTCATATCGTTGGTGGGTGAAGTCTGATTATTGACATATATAGCCACAAGATTCTATTTTAAAGAGAATCAATGATTAGGTTACAGTGGAAGTTGCAGGTGATGTGTTTAGCGTGTCGAGGGTGTCTTTCCAGCCGGTAAACGTGAACTCGTCGCAGGTGGCCGCTGATCGAGTCTAACGACGTGGTTCTTCAAGCACTCCTACATGGGTTTCCTCGGCGTCGCCGCATAGATGAACCTTCGGAACAAATGACTAACAAGGAGATCTACGCCAACAGAACAAATGATTGCTACAATTGGTTTGGGTTTTGGATGTTGGGTGGTGGTGGAATACATGGTTGTTGGTGGCGGTGAAGGGGTTGGTTTTGGTTGGGGTGGTGGTGGATTCCATGTTGTAACTGGTTGGTGGTGGTGTTGGTCTGGTTTAGGTGTTGGTGGTGGGCAGGGGCGGAGGCAGCATGTGCCCGCGGGGGGGCAGCTGCCCCAGTAGAATTTTTTATTTTTTTTATACATAAATTTATAAAAATTGACGCAATGCCCCGCTTAAAATTAATAAAATGGCCCCTCTGCCCCTGAATTCACTAAATTTTATTTTATTTTATGCGTATAATTTGTAAGTATTTATAAAATACCCTCATAAAATTTATAAATTATCCCCATAAAATTATCTATTTCTAAAAATATTTTTAATTCTTTATTCCTTTTCCTTCTTATTCTTCAAATTTCTTTTTGTCATCTTAAAAAATTTTTGCATTCTCTTTCTGCAATTAAAACCTATTTTTTCCTTCAAAATTTTCTCATATATTTTTCTTTTTATTTCATTTTCTTCTTAAAAATTTATTTTTTCTTGCAATCAAGCATAATTTATGTGCAATAACCATTTTTTTTTTTCCTATTCTTATTAATTTTTTATTCATTACTCTAATGCACTGTTGTTACACTTATATTTTCGACCTGCTTAAAAAAAAATTATTTTATCAGTATTAACATCCCCCCCTTCCCCCCCCCCCCCCCCCCCCCCCCCCCCGGACTAAATTCTGGCTCCGCCTCTGGTGGTGGGTGGTGGTGGAAATGGGGGTTTGGTTTTAGAGAGAGAGGGGGTGAAGAGGAAGAAGACCACATTGGGTATTTTGTAATTTTACAATAATAAATATTAATTGTTAATTTAATATTAAATAGTAAGGTCAATTTTGTTATTTCACAACCAATTTAGTGGGTGAGACACGAGTATCGGGGTAACTTGATAACATTTTTTAATTCAAGAGGCAATTTAATTTTAGTGGGGTTTTTTTTGCACTAATTTGATTTGGGGGGAGGGGGTTACTCCTTATAATTTTATCTTATATAGATATTTTGCTCAAACTTTTTTTCTTTTCTTTTTCTTTTTTTATTTTTAACGCAACGGTAAGATTTCAAATTCTACTCAAGTTAGTAATAATTCTATTTTTCAATACTAAAATGTTTTTTTTTTTTTTTTTTTTTTTTTTTTTTTTTTTTTTTTTTTTTGACTTTACGGCCCGGTGATGTACAAAAGAGAAATGTACAAGATACAAGGGGTATATACCCCAGGTCAAATAAGGCCCAAAGAAATTGGGCTGAAACATTCAAATGTGGCCCTTTGAATAAATCAGCACATTCAAAGTTGGGATTTATTTCGATTTAGGGACCAAGGTTCTTATTGGTGAAATTTGAAAGTCTTCTAGAGTAGAAAGAGATTTTGTGACATGAACTCGATCTAGAATATTAAGGTTTAAGGTCATGACTAAAAAAAATATATAGTATTAGACCTGAGATCTAAAATTAAAGGATGGTGGTGGAATTATGGGTGGGGCCCACCCCACCATATCAAATATTCAAAGCTGAATTTGTTAATTGGAGTGTATCAATTAATGAAGAAATATAATTTTGAAGATGCTACTTTCATTGTAAAAATATGAAAAGCATTAAATATTTTATCCAAATTTATTAGACTAAAACCTCTCTTAAATCGAAATATTGATTAATACTAATAAAAAAGATAATAATAATAATTTTTTTTTATTAATACAAACATGTCTAGCAGGAAGCTCAAGAAACAAAAGAAAAATGATCTCACACCGAATATTGTTTTGATGAACGATAGTTATTTTTGTAATATTAGTTTCAGAATTTTTAAAGAGGGTGAAAAGTGATTTAATTTTTTTTAAAATAGGTAAAATAGTGATTTTGCTAGATTATGAGAGTAAAAAAGTGGATTTTGTAATAAAATTTCTTACTTAACCTGAAATGAAAGTATTCAATTACTCTATTTCTTTAAAAACAAAAAAACAAAAATTACTCTTGTAAAATGTGTCTTGGCCAGTCTTGCGTCCTTTAGATGTAAATATTTAAGGCACGGTGGGTTCCCAAAACCTAAAACATTGCATTGATTCGTTTGGCAATCACAATTGCTTTGTATTTTTGCCTTGATCCGAAACAGAAACAATGTTTTTGATTTTAGAGTGGTGTTCAACACTATTTAGAAGCTTGTTTGGTAAAGTAAATTGTTACAAGATTTTTAGAAACAAAAATATGAAAGCATGTTTAGTAAAAAGTGTTGCAAGTTTAAAAATTTGAATGGTTAGTTAAAAATATTATTTTAGAAAGAAATATTTTATTTTTTATTTTTATGAACAGTGCTTTGCTACCGTGTGGAAGTAAATAAAAGTATCATTTTAATGCTTTCAATTTTGACTTTAATTTTGAAAGCGCTTCGTTACTATTCAAAAGCACAGCAAATGTTATCAAACATGTTTCGTACTTTTGATTCGTTACAGTAAATTAGTAAAAACTCTAGCCAAACAGGTAAAAGAATGAAGTTTAGATAATTCGTAAATTAGTTTATAGCAAATTCATTTCCAAACAGTAGATAGCAAGAAAGAAAAATGATTAAAATACATAAAAAAAAAAAAAAAAAAGATAAAATCTCAAACCTATGTTACCGACTTAAATTAATGCATCAATCGCACGTGCTCAGTGGCACGTGAAAACAGACATAAAATAGAGAAGGAAAGGATACACTCATAGAGGTTCCGGAGTTGCAGAGAACATTTGCCGTAAAAAAAAATGGTTTGATTTCTCCCAATTTTTACCGATTATTAATAGAAAATTAAAGATAGAATGCGTACGTCGCTGTTGAGTTTGGGTTTTTAATTTTACGTTTTTGATTTAGTTAAATTTGGATTCACATTCACCCCTCTGGAATTTTTAATATATATATAGATTTATGGTTTCCGGAGCGGTGTGTCGAATCTCGTTTTCAAATAAATAATTAATAAATAAAAGAGTCAAAAGGAAAATTGATGCATTTCAGTAATTATCGGAAGAGAGGCGACTGCGAATTTGTTGATCACCACCACTTTCATTGGAGAGAGAGAGAGAGAGTTAGACAGAGAGGGTGTGGAGATTATTTTATTTTGTATATATATATATATTTCTTTTTTAATTGATAGAGTTTTTGATGTAAGGGATAATTACATATAAATGGGGTTAGGGCTCCGTATTTACTCAGAGGCGGAGTCAAAGTTTCATATTTCCCTAAAATGAATTGCTGACGTGGCACATGAATTATTACTGTTTAAGAAATGTTTTGCCAAAAATGTCCTTCTCACTTTTTTTGGTGTTGCCTAAAATGCCCTTTCTCCATAATTTAATATATTGCCCTAATTCGTTCGGTAAATACGATCTTCTTTGGCCCTAAAAATAAAATTCTCTCATTCGCTGCTCTCTCTCATCGCTGCTCTCTCTCTCTCTCTTTCTCCACGACTCTTTCTAAGCCGGTCCCTCCACCCTCTCTCTCTAGCTTTATCGCTGTAGGAATTGAGAAACCCAGCTCAATTTTCAGTCCAGCTACAATGGGCTCAGAAGAGGGATCAAGGGTTCTCGGTGAGCTTCAAACCATACATTTGTCAGTGCATTTTCATTGTTTCGGTTGAATTTTTCTTGTTTTCTTTTTTCAGCTGTAAATTTGGATTGAGTTATGATGATTTGGTGTTTCTTAAGCTTTTTTATTGTAATGGTTCTTGTTTTTGTGTTTTCTTCTTATTGTAGGCTATTGGGTTTTCTAAAATTAGGGTTTTCTTCCTATTGTAGGCTATTGGGTTTTGTAAAATTAGGGTTTTCTTCCTATTGTAGGCTATTGGGTTTTCTAAAAATAAATATAGAAACTACACAACAGGAGCCAGCTGCAACTCCTTTTTTTTTTTCACTCAATTTAATAGGAAAAATGTAGAGAGCGTGATTTTACATCATGGATCGCTGGCACTTATAAAATGTTTTACATAGCACTTGAAAAACAAGAGTTCAAATTTGAGGAGTTGTCACTTAAGAAGCAAGGAATTACTCTTATCGTGCACTATGGTTGGTGTCTCTCAAATTCGTTGTGAATCAGTTGCTCTGTTTCCAATTTATTTTAATTTTAATTTTTTTTTTAAAAGAAATTGTCACTAAAATTTTCTTACTTCATCATCAATCAATTGCACAGAGCACCATCACATCAATCACTACAGACTCAACTGATTGATTTAACTGTCTAACAAGCTATTGGTTGTTTGTGAATAGGGGAGTAATGGTGAGGAGCCAATGAAGCTGAAGCTATATTCTTCCTGGGGGAGCTCTTGCTCTTGCCGTGTTCGTATCGCTCTCAACTTCAAAGGTCTCTCTCACTCTACTACTTTCGCTCTCTAAATTTTGATCAGTCAATTTCTTCTGCCGGTTTCACTTTCTAAAACCCTGATTTTTTATTTGATTTTAGTTAAAATTTTTTTTTTTTTGTTAATTATTGACCATTAGTTATCGCCTCTTTCAACATAGATCTCAAATATGAGTACAAAGCAGTTGATGTCATGAAATGAGAACATTTAGTCCTGGTGAGAACATACATGGTGTCTCAAGAAATTTCTTGTAGTATTTAGGCTTATTTATATGATGATAAAGTATGATATTTATAATAATTAACATATTGGGTGTCTGGCATTAATGTTACACTATGGACATTCAAACTTCAGAATTCATTTTTTGTTCACACATTATGATCAGTAACTTTTGTTGGTGGTGGATAATTTATCAATGAAAGTTACTTTCAGCTGGAAATAGACATCAATTTAAAGGAGAAGTCACCCTCTCTTGAAAAGAGTCATAAGCTCTCTTCACTGGCTATTGGATTGAGAAAAATATCGTAATTTGTGAATGTAAAAACACAGTCTGAGAATCTTATATCAGTCCTATCCATAAAGAGAATTCATGGCTCTTGTCAACTGGAGATCTTTGGATAGCTTTACTATTAATTTAAAAGGTTTATTTGGAAATGCAGAAATGTAACACTAATTTCATAAGTTAGTGTTTGTCTTAACTTTTTGATCCATTTCATGCATCTAATAAGTGAAAACAAAATAGAAACTTGATTATTATCTATTGCTTGTAATATTATATATATATTCAGTTTGGCTTTAAAAAATAGAGTCTTGAACGGTCGTTGCAATTTAATCATTGGCCTAAAAGTTTTTGGGACTCTAGCTCCATATTCTTTTTTGGTAGTCTTTATATATCTTGTTAATGTGTTATCTGTTTTTTGAGTATAGAATATTTAAATATCTTGTCAATATCTTGCTATTGTAGGCTATTGGGTTTTCTAAAAAGAAAGATAGAAACTATTAGATATAAGGGGACTACACAAAAGGAGCCGGCTGCAACTCCTTTTTTTTTTCACTCAATTTAATAGGAAAAATGTAGAGAGCGTGATTTTACGGGTTGGATCGCTGGCACTTATAAAATGTTTTACATTGCAATTGAAAAACAAGAGTTAAAATTTGAGGAGTAGTCACTTAAGAAGCAAGGAATTACTCTTATCGTGCTCGTATCATACTCTTTAAATACTAACCAATATGTGTTCCATACTTTTTAAACTTAGTGCTTTCTAGACAGTGGCTTTAAATTGAATGTACCCACTAAATGGTTGATTTGCTAAAATAAGCTATATCCTATTATGCACTAAAATAATTGGATTGGTTATGTACTTTCTGCTACAATGGTTTTCACATAACATAATTGTCTGTGTTCGATGATTAACACTCGCAATCAGCATCTTTCTTGAGCCTCTTTGTTCTTTTGAAAGAATATTCTTTGAGCATTTGACTTGACCAATATATGAAAAATGATATATCTCAAATTTCTGTTGTTTCGAGACAGGAAACCTTCACTGACTTCAATTTTTTGTAAATAATGACAGGATAAGTTCTCATCTAGTGAAGATAAAGTGGAAGTTGTTATTAAGATTTTTTAAATTGATGTCATTCCTGTTATTGTGAACTTCAGAAGGTTAGTTTCTATAATCCTCTTAAGAATGTATAATCCTCTGAAAAATACCCCTGCACACTATCATACTCTTTAGGATATATAATCGAAATCGTTATAAATTATAGGGATTATTACACATAAATGGACTTAGGGTATCATATTTACTAAGAGATTGAGTTAAAGTCCCATAGTTTCTTTAAAATAGGTTTGACCCAAAAGCTGAGGTGGCACATGAAAAAATACTGTTTGATATTTCTGTTGCCTAAAATACCCTTCTTCCTATTTTATGTGTTGCCTAAAATGCCCTTTTCTACACTTGCCTAATTTCAAGCCCTAAGGCCTTTCATATTCCATTCGGTGTAACCCTCTCTCACGACTCTTTCTCCCTCACTTGTTTCCTGCGATACAGATACAATATGCCATGGCACGAACAATCTTCGATCTGCTAAAGGGAAATCAAATACTCAGGCTCAACGGTTCCTCTTTCCCTCTTTGCTGAAACCCTAACCTTTCTCTTTCTAATTTCTGGTGTAGCGGCAATAACTGGACGGTTGCAAACAATTGGGGTTTTTTACCGTCATCTCAGCCTCCGGTCACGTTATAACTCTTGAAATAGGTACTTTGACCTAATTAGAGCCCTAATGCTCTTTCATATTTCTATTTGTGCAGACCCTTCTCTCTCCCATTCTCAAATGAGACCTAGCCCTCACTCTATTGAATCCATCAATGAAAGCCTAACCCTTTCTAAGCACTGACATAACTTTGCCTCAATCACAAAGGCTGATTGTTTGAAGCTTTGTCTTTTGCAAGTTTCACCTTCAGAGGAAAATCGCCCAGGTACTGGCCTTGTTCTCCTTTCTTCCTTTTCTAAACTTTCATTGATCTTTATTATTCTGCTTTCTTCCTTCTCTGAACTCTCATCAATTTTCTAATTTTTTCTTCAATCGCAGAAGTTATTTCTTCAAGCATAGGGATAAGCCCTAACCCTCTCTAACCCGGGTACTATTTTCCAATTTCTTCTTTCATCTCTGCCTTCCCCTAGAAAGTTGTAGAGTCTCTCTGTAAATGATACTATGTGTTGAAAATTTTAATCAATTAAGTTGTTGTTACTTTCTGCTGACATGATTTCAATTCATGTGTTGTTTACATATTCACTAGATTTGAGGATTCATATGTTGTAAGCTGTGTTTTTCTGTCTTATGAAGTTGCTGGTTTTTTTTATTTTCTTTTATTTATTTATTTTTTTAATAGAAGAATGATTCAGTTTTATCCTTTTTGGTTTTGGTTGTGCTACTGCTCCAATTGGGTGCATACTAATTTGCAATAAAAAGTGGAACTAAACTTTCTTGTTTCTCCAAAGATAAGATTAGAGGATTTTTTTTACTTTAAAAAAAAAAGATAAAAAAATATTAGAGGATTTTTCAAAATAACTGCATACCAGTAATACTGGTAATTTCTTTGTAGTCTCATTGTAAATATGACTATGATTACTATTGATAACTCCTCTGTTCATGGTAGGTGTGATGGCAATACAATTATTGGTTATATATTATGCAAGGAAGTAAATAAGTCAAATCCAAAAGTTAAGGGAAAAATAACTGTGGTGTTAATGAGTTCTCATTGGGAAACACTTGTAACTAATCATGCAGAATTTCATAAAGTTGTGGTAAATCTCAAATTTCTGTTGTTTCGAGACAGGAAACCTTCACTGACTTCAATTTTTTGTAGATAATGACAGGATAAGTTCTCAGCTAGTGAAGATAAAGTGGAAGTTGTTATTAAGATTTTTTAAACTGATGTCATTCCTGTTCTTGTGAACTTTAGAAGGTTAGGTTCTATAATCCTCTTAAGAATATAATCGAAATCACTATAAATTATATTAACCCAAAAAGACAATCAGAGCTACTTCACCAAAAACCCATAAGCCTGAACTCTCTTCAAGGACTTCACAACTGTGACTAGTACCATGTGATGAGAGGTTATATACAAATTTATAAACTCAATCTACCATAGAGCACAAATCCATGTATAATGGGTAAGGCAGTCAAGTAGTTCCTAATATAGTAGTAGTTATGTAAGGAAGAAGCTCTTCAATATTGGTATGTATAGAAGAGACTACGTACCTATGCTATGTCTGGCTGTGTAGTTAAAAATGCTATTTTATAGCCAGAAGTTAGACACATACGCGATAACTAAGTGGTTGCCATAGGGAATATCGGAAAGAAGTAGTACCTTAATCTGCTACAAAATAAGGAACTACGGCTACAAAATATTTGCTACAAGATATATGTATTGGCTACTAACTACCTCCTGGGACATAGTATGCACTACCTCCAATAATGATACTAACATTATATTTCTTCAATTATTTGGTACAATTTCAAGAACTTGTTTAGTCACTTTTGTTTTTTAGATAATTACTCCAAAAATATTATTTTTAAGTTTTCTAGTTAAGTTTAATGGTGGTTAATAGCATGCTTTTTACATACGTGCTTTAATTTTGGTGAGAAGGTGAAGATAATGATTATGGAAGTATCAACTAGGTATAATCTCTTATATAGGAATAAGTAGTTGATATATTCTACCAACAATTGCAGTTATCTTATACAATAAATGTGTTAATTATTTCATCTTTGTCTTAGTTTTGCATCTTTAATCTTATGACTTTACTTCTCAATTATTAGGGATTAGATTCCATATTATGCCTATTTGATTACTGAAATGTCACAATTTTCTCCCCTTACCAGAAACATATGCATACTAAAGATTTCTTTCTATTAAAATGTTGAATTCCAAGCGAATAATGTACTTCTTTTGTAGATTTTATACCTCAAGTTGCTAAAATTTTGTTCCAGACATTCCATCAAGCTAAAGTACAATTATTTCTAATAACGTAACAGTAGAAGTGCATGTTATTCCCAGCCATGAAAATGGTATTTTCTCTCTATTTTTTTTTTCCTTGGCAAACTAGAAGGAGAAAGGACTCGAACACAGGAAGCTGGCCACTCTATCAATTAGGCCACTGGGTGATACTCTTTTCTCTATAGAATGAACAAGTTGACTGAAAAATAATTTAGGATAAGTAGATTATTGTTGATTAATTAATCTCATTTTGTTGGATTTGTCTTACTAATAATGGTGTATATGCAAAATTTCATTTTGTACCATATGTGGATGATGTTTCTTTGTGTATGTTGAGAATTAACAATGTAGGACAAAGGGCTAGCTATGTCATTAAATTTGTTTGCTAGAAGGCATGGACTTTGGTATTGATCATCCCAATCTTTTATAAAAGTTTAAGTCTTTGCTTGGACTTTTTAAGTTAAGATGTAGGTTAAATTAGGCTAGAACACAACAATTTTGAACTGTCTATTATTTGGTAGCAGAGAAAATAAGGAAAGAAGAAAAACTTTAAGATTAACAAGTTTCTATAAAGGAGTAGAATTGTTACAAGATTCCATGTTTCCTAATTTCTTCTTGTTTTCCCAATTTCTTGGCAACCAAACATAGGATAAAGTATAAGGACTTAGGAAAAGATTGGTTGAATGGACTTGTATCCAAATTTTCAGATTTTCCAATAGTTATTAGGAAGCCTTTTTATGCATAATGTACAGTTTATTGCAAATTTCAATCACTTGTGAAAGTAGTACAGCAATTATTGAACCTTTTTTTACTATTTCGTTGTTATTATTGTATATATGTTTGAATATTGTTGATGTAGCAAGTCTCATGATTGTTTTTTCCTTTATACCTTATGTGGATACATAATTTGAAACTTTGAACTAGCATTTAGAGACATCGTAGAGCATTCCTTGGCAGATTATCCTGTTAATTTAAGTTTTTCATGCGTTTCACCTATCTTTTAGATTTGATATTCATTTGTTTACAGAAAAAGAAGTCAATGGTCCAAATTTAATCAACAATTAAAACTAAGAATCTACAGTCACACAGACACATTTTCTCAATCTTTTGCTCCAACAGTGAGAAGTTGCAAAGCATGACGCGCGTATTTTATTTTGACTAACAATTATGATAACAAGGCTCCAAATTTCCCATCCTCCAGAACTTCTTAAGAACTCAATTCATTTATGCGAACCGAGCTGAGTAATTGGTTTATTTGAGTGAGTCAAGTTTGATCACAACTGTTAAAAAATTAACCAAGCTCAAACTAAGCTCAGACACTGCTTCTAACCAGCCAAGCTGAGCATAAGCTCTATAAAGTTGGCTTGACTCAGCTTGTTTACAGCCTACGAAATGGCTGATCTCATACTTAAATATGTCTCCTTATAGTGGCCAGTTTAAGCTTTCACCATGTCACCTGACCCCTTTTTTTTTTATCAAATATATATATATATATATATATATATATATAAAGTAGCATTTTGAATACTAAAGAGTTGAACTATCACAAAAATATACTAGGCCATGTAGAAATTCCCACGTCTTGAAGAACCGGCTGGCTGGTGATTGTCCCTTCCACTTCCAAAACCTTTTCTCCTTTTGCTGATCGAAATGCAGAAAGGAGAGATGACCCTGATTGGGTCTTCAATTTTCTTATTGCCCTTTAAGAAAGACAAAAAAATTAATATTTAGAAGTTGGATTTGATGTGACCTTATTTATAAATTCATGATAGGATACATTATTTAAGCTTGAAACTTGAACGGAGACTCAAGAAAACGTCATCAGAATATCTCCCATCAGTTAACTGGACTCATGTACACATATTTTTCTGAAAGTAACATGTATGTGTGAGATTTGTCAAACCACCAAATTACAAATTCTGAGTTTCAACAAGAGTATATCTAAAGAAAACAAGGGTTGAAGTAGTTTTTAGTTTAGCATACAGTTGCCAGTTTGAAGAGAGCCTTGCATTCCTATGCATGCTAACTCTATTTTCTTTCATTAATTCTTTCTTTATTTCTTTGTTTCTGATGCACACTTTCTTATTTCTTTACACTTAGAATAGCCTTCCTTAATTTATAATTATAGTAACATAAAAGCTAAAGCATGTGGTTCCTATTTTGTAGCATAACTACTGCATAAGACTCAGCTTAAATGAAGACTGGACTTATAAATTTGAATATCTGTGTCATGTTCGATTTTCTATTAATAGTTAATAAGTTGGTGTATATGTCTTAAGATGACTGTTCGTGTTCATTCTAGCTTCTCGTGTTTATGGTTATGTTGTTCTGAGATTTGTAACTGTAATTCTTGATTTGCAAACTAAATCCTATTTGGTGAAAAATTTTATGATCTTTTTTATATACTTTTTTTTTTTTTTTTTATGAATTTTAGTTATAAATATTTGTGAAGATAATGACTGAAACAGGATCTCCCTTTGCAGGATTTGAAAGACTAATTGGTAAATTTGGGTTGAACTTTAGTCTTGAACAAGCTGAAGGCCCTTATTGTGGATTATAATTTTTACAATTGCAGCACCCTACGGTCTTACCATATTTTAGAGTGCTTTCATCACTTCATACTGGTAAGTCATATCTTTAATTATTTAAATATATATATATATTTTTTATTCCAGTTTTTTTCATGCTAATAATAAATTGGATGTTAACCGCATGAAGCATAAATCTGTCAATTAAGACAGGCACCCAATTGTATATGAAACAAAGTACAATATAAAGTAACAAAATTTATTAATATATAAACAACAAAATTTTCATTTTTTTATTTTTTTATTTTCTTTTGTGTGTGTGTTTTTGTGTTTGAAGGTTGAAAGATTTGTGTAGTTATTCAGTTGTAGAAGCAACAAAAACACTTCCAGTGCTTCCCAAAAATAAAAATCATCATTATCATGGTGTTGTCATAAAACTTTATTTGAAAAAGGATAATTCTTAACTTATTTATTTGACTCGAGAAACTGATGTTATTAATATTTGTGGGCCAATTTGGGTGCTTAATTGGTAATTGATTGTGTGTTTGAATTTTGAATGTCCTAGATTCAAAGGGGGAAGCCATATAAACTTGCACTGAGAATGGCATAGACTTTATAAGTTGTAACCTTCCAGCACAAAATGAGTAGTTGGTAGTCCAAAACTCCTCAATTAAAGGATCACAGTGCTGTTTATTCAGTCTATTAGACAATAATAAAACTCCCAAATATCTAATTGGGAGGGTCCTAATAGAGAAATTAAGCTTTCTGAGAATTAGGTTTTGAGTAGCAGTCTCTATACCAGATCAGAATATGACACCTCTTTGCATTATTTGGAATCAAGCTAGAAATAGAAGTTAAAACTAAATTGAGCTATTGATTCTGTCAGTATTTTAACAGATTCAACATCCCAGCTGTGATTAACATAAGATCATCAACAAAAAGGTCCATTACTTATCCTCTGAGCTGAGCATTTCCAATGGTAATCAAAACCCCCTAGAGTTATTCTCTAATTAAAAATACGAGGTAGAACCTTCATTCCTATAACAAATGGTATGAGGACATTGGATCCTTCCTCCTTCCCTTATTAGGTAAACCATACGACCATTAACATCCAAGGAAAAGAACTTTTCAACAATTTCAATAAAAGAAATAAAAATAAAAACTGTAAGTGTTTTTTTTTTTTTCCTTTTATCTATTCGATTGGGTTAAGTGATGCTTTATATATGCTTATTTTTGTGTGTTTTACCTATCATTAACGTGCTTAGTTGGATTAATTCCGAAGAATGTGTATTGAATTAATGAATTAGGAATATATGAGTAGTCCCAAGTGCCTTTGTAAGCTAGCAGATTTGAGATTGAATCTTTTCAACATGTAATGTGTAGAAGTGCAAATTGGTAAATTTAAGTTGGACTGTTATGTCCATATATGTGCTCTATCCTTCCTTTTTGTATCTAATGTGCCTGTGTTGGTAATTTATTTGTAGATGTTGAATACCCGGTGTTCTCCAAATAAATTCAAGGAAACGGTTTGCAATTTAAGTGAAGACAAAAAGGTTGCCGTACAAGAGATTGGGTTTGGGTCCCTTTTAGACATCGAGTGTACCATTTTGAAGCGCAACCTGTGCTTATGGTTGGTAGAACACTTTGACCCTAGAACATCTCATCTCACCCTTGAATCTGGCGCTCGGATCCATGTTACGCCAAGTGACGTTGAAGAGGTACTTGGCCTACCCTCGGGAAGAGGAGAAGATGTGCCAAATTATATTGTACAAAGTGTGCATTGGTTAGAAAATGGCATTTTTTTAAAGGACGGTGTAATAGAAGTGCCAAACTTAGTGCATCAATTAGACGTTCTTCCTGTTGGGGATGACTTCAAGAGGGCTTTTGTCCTTTTCGCTTGCGGATCACTTCTAGCACCCATATCGAAAAATGAGACAAGCAAAAGGTTATTGGCAGCGGTTGACAATGTGGATGCTATTAAATCGTATAATTGGGGGAAGTTTGTTTTAGATTGGTTGAAAAAAGGAATTGCGTCCTATAAAGGAAAGGAAGGAAGAGAAGGTTGTACATACATACATGGATGCTTGTTCTTTCTCATGGTATGTTCTAAGATATAATATTTGTAATGTGTCTATCATTTTATTTTAAATAGCTATAATGTCATTATCATAATGGCTTATATGTTGTAGCTTTTCTACCTACACCGTGTGGATGTCAATGGACCAAAACCGAAGCCTGAGATGTCATGCGTACGTGGATGGACCAACAAATTAATAGGCGAGAGGTTGAATTTGGAGAAGCATAAATATAATGGTTTCGGCTTCGGTGAGGTAAAGTTTACAACTGATACATCTGAAGATGCCGATAAGGTAATCACGTCAATTATGGCTTTTTATAATTGGTACTAAATATACGGTTATATTTGCATATTCATAATTACTTGGAACTCTACGGTTACATTTATATATTAACTGATATATATATTTATTAAACTTGTTTAAAATTGTTAGGAGTTGGCATATGAAATTATTAAAGTTGTTAAGAAATGGAAGCAACGGCACAATGTAGGCCAAGGCAGGGGGTCGAGATCCTCAGAACCCAGTTCATCCACACGACAACCTAACCCATCTTCGCAATTGTTTGCACAACACAATCCGATTGAGGAGGAAGATGAATCCCACATACCAGTGGAGGAGGAATTCGAAACCTCCACAAGACAAGCAAACTCACCCTGGCAATCTTTTACAAAACACGATCCCATGGAGGAGGAAGGAGAAATCCCCGCACCAATGGAGGAGGAAGTGGGAACCTCCACAGCAATGGAAGAGGAGCGTGATGTGCAGGAAGCAGTGATCCCTTTATTACGTGTTATAAAGCCTGGGCGCCATAAGGGATCACCTTGGGTTGAAATGAAGGTCAACCGATTGCGTGTCCTTCGTCCAGAAGCAAAGGCAGTCATCTCATATGCCATGGATGAGAGCAGAAATGATGAGTGAGAAATTATATAAATAATTTCTTATTTGCTCTATATTTACTTACTTTCTATGCTCAAACACTTAATATGTTATTGTTTAATTATAGTGAAATGCTGGTGAACATAAATGATATTTTCCTCACAAGAAAAGAGATGAGAACAATCTCTTACAATCATTGGATATCAAATATGGTATGTTCACTTAAAGTTCATTGATTTTTCAAACCAATCACACGCATGCATTAATGGTTTAAATGTGATCATTGTAGGTGGTTGAAGTCTATTGCCAAATGCTCCAGCTGAAACAAAAGCGTAGAGGAACCAAATTTTTCTTTCCGCCTTCGATTGGGGTAACAAATTCTTCTATCTATAGTGAATGTTTGTTTGACACATATTAGGTTATCAATTGTGTGCATTTTCAGATTGAACTTTCCAAGATACCTTCAAAAGTGGTTGATAGGAAAGGTAAAATACAAGCAGTTTGGAACAACTATAAAAGGATAAGGAATGTCGATGATAACAAAGTTTGCCAATTCAATATGGTAATATTTATCGCTTGCAAACATAAATAATTATTATACTTTTATCAAAAAAATATGATTCTAAAAGTAATTAAATTTTTACATTGTTAAATATGCAGCTTTTCTTTCCAATACTTGTAAATGAGAAACATTGGTGCTTGTATGTCTTTAACATTTGCGATAGTCGTATGGATGTGTTGGATTCAAACAAACATTCTTCGCATGATAAGCGTACTCCAGACAAGATGTCAAAAGATTTGGTAAACGCTTATTACATATGAGCTCATTTTTTTGATTATGTATTCATTTACTGTTAAATTAAGACGGTAAAGTATACAAGTTGAAGAACGTGGTACTGAATTTTTTACTCTAATCATTTATATATTGTGCATTTGTAGGTAATGTTGGTTGAGGTATTCACCGGAAGAGATCTACAAAACTTCATATACAATGTGCCCAACGTACCTCAACAGCCCGATAGGTAATTTTATCACTTAATGTTCCTAGTTTGGTGTACTGATTATGTTCACAATTATAATTAACAGATACCTAAACAGTCTTTTATTCAGTGATAGTTGTGGTGCTTTCATGTTGGACTTCATGGAGAAATGGGATGGTTCACTCAGTCACCCAAAAGAGAAGGTGAAGCCCAATTCTATTTTTTACATGGGTCTTATTTATTTTTTTTCCCCGAATGAAGAAATTACCGAATTACTAAATCACACAATCTCCTCGATACTCTTCGTTAATCATTTAATTCTCTGTTTTCTTCTAAACCATTGGTGCATTGTTAATCTAAGCACCCACTGGTCATTAGTCTTCAAAGGAAGAAATGGGTCTTGCCTTTAAAGGTTTCAAAAAATATATTTGTAAAACTGATCCACATTCCTACATACTTTTGTTCAAGGGTTAAAACTGGAGGGTCTTCAATTCCAATACATGCAAACATAATTTAAAAAATTAATGCAACCACAAAATGCATCCACTATAACGTTTTCCTTCCTCTTCACTGCACTCCCCATTCTGTTTTTACACGTTTTCCAGCTTATACCTTTCTTTTTTCTTTTTGCATCTTTTAAACCCATGTTTGTGTGCAAGTACTTCGCTTTCCGATCTCTCCCCGCTAGGCTGCAATGTCGTAGTGTCAATAGCGGGAAGACCAGGGGACTATGGCACGTGTTGAAACAAAGAGAGCGGTAAGCAACCCCTTTAGGCAACAAAATTTTCAACCTTAGAACCCCCTAATGCAGTATACCCTTAATGTGTGCCATTTTTTTGAAAGAGAAAGCATCCAGCTCTAGTGAGTTTTAATCTAACATGAAGTAAGCAACAGTACTCCCTTGTAATGAATGATATAGAAAATGTTTGACATCCACTGTATAATGGGTCCTTCGAGTAGAAACCAGCTTTGCTAGATGAGGTTTAAATGAATAGCATATTCTTAAATATTTTCAGACAGTTTTTCATTGTCAAAGAATTCAGTATGAGATCAGTAGCTTAAATCATTAGTCAACCTTGTTTTTCCTACATCACCTAACCAATTAGATACGCAAATACTGGACTCCTGTCATTTTAAATGAACATATTGCAGTTAATATGGTCACTTCACTGTACTTAGTGGTGCTCATTAAAAATGAACCGAACACAAAAGATACTGAAACTACGACATATTGAAATGAATGATTAAAAAATTTCAAAATAAATAGTCACTTTAAGATTACTTTTGGAATGTCAGAAAAAAGGTGTGTGCCATTGAGTGTTTGGAATCAGTAAAAAGGGATAACTATTTTGGGACAGGGAGATCTTTCGTATTATTAGATTTGTTTTGGTTTTGTTTATGTTCTGTGTCTGTGCTGATCTGACCAAATTGCTAACATATTTCCCAAGGATGAAGCTACCTGTTTATGCAATATTTCACATATAAAAGTTTAGTATCACCGAGATTTTGTGCATATGCCAAATTCAACATTGTTGAAAAAGTTTTCTTTATCAAATATATAGTTTCTGCAACACTAGATTCCTATCTATTTACACTTATATGTATTCACGCATGAAGTCCATTTCCCAATCCTATATTCATGATTTGTCTTTACCTGGTTTAATTTGCAGGTGGATGTTGATAGATTACGTGCAATTATTGCTTCAAATTTGCTTTCAGATGACAATAACACAATGAAGGATTTTGTAAAGAACAAAGCACTTTATCCATTTGGTCAAGCATGTTGATTTCAAGTAAGGTGCCATCAGCTTACTTGTGGTTAGTAATTTTATTTTTTATTTTTTATTTTTATGATTCTAACATCACCTCCATTAGCTAACAAGGTACCATTTACCTCAAGGAACCTCACATACCAGTATTTGCCCAGTTGGAAGCTAGAGGAAGTGGGATAGGACGATCGTTGAATTTTCTAAAAAGTGGTACCTGAAATGATGTGGGATATGGGACATTTGTATTGTTGAATAGTGTCATTTTTTTTTCATGTATTTTGCACTCTGTTGGTGTTAGCTATTTTTAAAGTTTTAAAGAATAGTAGCTTTGCAACTTTTGATTGTGGATTAGGTTGGTATATTTTTGCAACTATTGTATGGCTTTGAATTTTGGCATCTACCTTACATGAAATCAAATGAAGTTGCTCTTTTGGGTTCTCAGGAATTAGTATTGTATGGCTTATTATATTAGGGTCTCAATGAAATTTCTTTCACTACTATATTAATGTACTAATTTCAAATTTGATGGAGTTTAAAACTGAAGCAGTTTATAATGAATGAAAAATTGGTTTGGATCTTCCTTGGTTCCATGGTGTCGATAAATGGATAGTTTAATGAATGAAAAATTGGTTTGGATCTTCCTTAGAGAAAACGTGGTACCTTGACGCCAAAAAGAAGTACCTTCAGTTCAAAAAACGTGGTCCCTTTGGGAAAAAAGTAGTACCTTTACAAAAGGTACCAATTTTTGCAATTGAATATGGTATTACACCTCACATCGCTAATTAAGTTGCACATTACATCCACAAACAGTTCCATTAGCGCCATGAATAAGTGTTTAGAGAAAACGTGGTACCTTGACGCCAAAAATGAGTACCTTCAGTTCAAAAACGTGGTACCTTTGGAAAAAAAGTGGTACCTTCGCAAAAGGAATTTATTTTTGCAGTTGAAAACGTGGTTTTATACCCCACACCGCTAATTAGGTTGCACATTACATTCATAAATAAGTGGTACCTTTAGTTCAATAACATGGTACCTTTGGAAAAAAAGTGGTACCTTTGCAAAAGAGATTTATTTTTGCAATTGAAAATGGTATTGCACCCCACACCGCTAATTTTCTTGCACATTACATCCACAAATAGCTCCATTAGCGCCATGAATAAGTGTTTAGAGAAAACGTGGTACCTTGACGCCAAAAAGTGGTACCTTTAGTTGAATAACATGGTACCTTTGGAAAAAAAGTGGTACCTTTGCAAAAGAGATTTATTTTTGCAATTGAAAATGGTATTGCACCCCACACAGCTAATTTTCTTGCACATTACATCCACAAATAGCTCCATTAGCGCCATGAATAAGTGTTTAGAGAAAACGTGGTACCTTGACGCCAAAAAGTGGTACCTTTAGTTCAATAACATGGTACCTTTGAAAAAAAAGTGGTACCTTTGCAAAAGAGATTTATTTTTGCAATTGAACATGGTATTACACCCCGCACCGCTAATTTTCTTGCACATTACATCCACAAATAGCTCCATTAGCGCCATGAATAAGTGTTTAGAGAAAACGTGGTACCTTGATGCCAAAAAGTGGTACCTTTAGTTCAATAACATGGTACCTTTGGAAAAAAAGTGGTACCTTTGCAAAAGAGATTTATTTTTGCAATTGAAAATGGTATTACACCCCGCATTTCTAATTAAGTTGCACATTACATCCACAAATAGCTCCATTAGCGCCATGAATAAGTGTTTAGAGAAAACGTGGTACCTTGACGCCAAAAAGTGGTACCTTTAGTTCAATAACATGGTACCTTTGGAAAAAAAGTGGTACCTTTGCAAAAGAGATTTATTTTTGCAATTGAAAATGGTATTGCACCCCACACAGCTAATTTTCTTGCACATTACATCCACAAATAGCTCCATTAGCGCCATGAATAAGTGTTTAGAGAAAACGTGGTACCTTGACGCCAAAAAGTGGTACCTTTAGTTCAATAACATGGTACCTTTGGAAAAAAAGTGGTACCTTTGCAAAAGAGATTTATTTTTGCAATTGAAAATGGTATTGCACCCCACACAGCTAATTTTCTTGCACATTACATCCACAAATAGCTCCATTAGCGCCATGAATAAGTGTTTAGAGAAAACGTGGTACCTTGACGCCAAAAAGTGGTACCTTTAGTTCAATAACATGGTACCGTTGGAAAAAAAGTGGTACCTTTGCAAAAGAGATTTATTTTTGCAATTGAAAATGGTATTGCACCCCACACCGCTAATTTTCTTGCACATTACATCCACAAATAGCTCCATTAGCGCCATGAATAAGTGTTTAGAGAAAACGTGGTACCTTGACGCCAAAAAGTGGTACCTTTAGTTCAATAACATGGTACCTTTGAAAAAAAAGTGGTACCTTTGCAAAAGAGATTTATTTTTGCAATTGAAAATGGTATTACACCCCGCATTTCTAATTAAGTTGCACATTACATCCATAAATAGCTCCATTAGCGCCATGAATAAGTGTTTAGAGAAAACGTGGTACCTTGATGCCAAAAAGTGGTACCTTCAGTTCAATAACATGGTACCTTTGGAAAAAAAGTGGTACCTTTACAAAAGAGATTTATTTTTGCAATTGAAAATGGTATTACACCCCGCATTTCTAATTAAGTTGCACATTACATCCATAAATAGCTCCATTAGCGCCATGAATAAGTGTTTAGAGAAAACGTGGTACCTTGATGCCAAAAAGTGGTACCTTTAGTTCAATAACATGGTACCTTTGGAAAAAAAGTGGTACCTTTACAAAAGAGATTTATTTTTGCAATTGAAAATGGTATTACACCCCGCATTTCTAATTAAGTTGCACATTACATCCACAAATAGCTCCATTAGCGCCATGAATAAGTGTTTAGAGAAAACGTGGTACCTTGACGCCTAAAAGTGGTACCTTTAGTTCAATAACATGGTACCTTTGGAAAAAAAGTGGTACCTTTGCAAAAGAGATTTATTTTTGCAATTGAAAATGGTATTGCACCCCACACAGCTAATTTTCTTGCACATTACATCCACAAATAGCTCCATTAGCGCCATGAATAAGTGTTTAGAGAAAACGTGGTACCTTGATGCCAAAAAGTGGTACCTTTAGTTCAATAACATGGTACCTTTGGAAAAAAAGTGGTACCTTTACAAAAGAGATTTATTTTTGCAATTGAAAATGGTATTACACCCCGCATTTCTAATTAAGTTGCACATTACATCCACAAATAGCTCCATTAGCGCCATGAATAAGTGTTTAGAGAAAACGTGGTACCTTGACGCCAAAAAGTGGTACCTTTAGTTCAATAACATGGTACCTTTGGAAAAAAAGTGGTACCTTTGCAAAAGAGATTTATTTTTGCAATTGAAAATGGTATTGCACCCCACACAGCTAATTTTCTTGCACATTACATCCACAAATAGCTCCATTAGCGCCATGAATAAGTGTTTAGAGAAAACGTGGTACCTTGACGCCAAAAAGTGGTACCTTTAGTTCAATAACATGGTACCTTTGGAAAAAAAGTGGTACCTTTGCAAAAGAGATTTATTTTTTCAATTGAAAATGGTATTGCACCCCACACCGCTAATTTTCTTGCACATTACATCCACAAATAGCTCCATTAGCGCCATGAATAAGTGTTTAGAGAAAACGTGGTACCTTGATGCCAAAAAGTGGTACCTTTAGTTCAATAACATGGTACCTTTGGAAAAAAAGTGGTACCTTTACAAAAGAGATTTATTTTTGCAATTGAAAATGGTATTACACCCCGCATTTCTAATTAAGTTGCACATTACATCCACAAATAGCTCCATTAGCGCCATGAATAAGTGTTTAGAGAAAACGTGGTACCTTGACGCCAAAAAGTGGTACCTTTAGTTCAATAACATGGTACCTTTGGAAAAAAAGTGGTACCTTTGCAAAAGAGATTTATTTTTGCAATTGAAAATGGTATTGCACCCCACACAGCTAATTTTCTTGCACATTACATCCACAAATAGCTCCATTAGCGCCATGAATAAGTGTTTAGAGAAAACGTGGTACCTTGACGCCAAAAAGTGGTACCTTTAGTTCAATAACATGGTACCTTTGGAAAAAAAGTGGTACCTTTGCAAAAGAGATTTATTTTTGCAATTGAAAATGGTATTGCACCCCACACCGCTAATTTTCTTGCACATTACATCCACAAATAGCTCCATTAGCGCCATGAATAAGTGTTTAGAGAAAACGTGGTACCTTGATGCCAAAAAGTGGTACCTTTAGTTCAATAACATGGTACCTTTGGAAAAAAAGTGGTACCTTTACAAAAGAGATTTATTTTTGCAATTGAAAATGGTATTACACCCCGCATTTCTAATTAAGTTGCACATTACATCCACAAATAGCTCCATTAGCGCCATGAATAAGTGTTTAGAGAAAACGTGGTACCTTGACGCCAAAAAGTGGTACCTTTAGTTCAATAACATGGTACCTTTGGAAAAAAAGTGGTACCTTTGCAAAAGAGATTTATTTTTGCAATTGAAAATGGTATTGCACCCCACACAGCTAATTTTCTTGCACATTACATCCACAAATAGCTCCATTAGCGCCATGAATAAGTGTTTAGAGAAAACGTGGTACCTTGACGCCAAAAAGTGGTACCTTTAGTTCAATAACATGGTACCTTTGGAAAAAAAGTGGTACCTTTGCAAAAGAGATTTATTTTTGCAATTAAAAATGGTATTGCACCCCACACCGCTAATTTTCTTGCACATTACATCCACAAATAGCTCCATTAGCGCCATGAATAAGTGTTTAGAGAAAACGTGGTACCTTGACGCCAAAAAGTGGTACCTTCAGTTCAAAAATGTGGTACCTTTGGAAAAAAAGTGTTACCTTCGCAAAAGGGATTTATTTTTGCAATTGAAAATGGTATTATAACCCACACCGCTAATTAGGTTGCACATTACATCCATAAATAAATCCATTAGTGCCATAAAGAGTACAAACTTTATTCCAATCTATCTAACTTGAGGGAATGAGTAATACAAAATATAGTCCAACATCACTTAAAACATTACACATAAGCTAATTTTTTTTTTTTTCTATAAGATATCCTAAAAACAATTATTCTCTCCCTAATAGGTAAAGAAGCTGCTTTTATGCCAGTTCCATTATGAAATAGTACTTTGCAAAAAGTTCTCCTTACCTGATTTGTGTCCATAGTTCTTCAAAGTTTTTCTCCCGGAACGGAGCTCTCAACGACTACAACTTCCACCAGCGTTCCTTAAGCAATTTGATAGAGTTTTACCTTCCAAGTCTATAATTAGGAGTTATGCAAGCAAATCGTAGCGGGTTGAAGTGAGAGAGGTTAATAACACAAAATATTTTTACAAGGGTTAGCATGAATTTATGGAAGACAATTCACTAGAGTTCGAAAATTTCCTACTATCTTAT